TACAACGGTCCGACATGACCCCGTAAACTGTCTTCTACAACGGTCCGACATGACCCCGTAAACTGTCTGCTACAACGGTCCGACACGACCATACCGTGTCTTCTATAACGGTCTGACATAACCATACAGTGTCTCCTATCCCATTTTTAATTTTATTTGTCAGCTTATTTTTCTATTTTGTTACTCTCTCCAAACTCAAGTTGGCTAGTACTTATCCTCCTTGAGTTTGAGGGGGGCTGTTAATGTAAATTGTAAAAGTAAATACTACCACCCACTCCACCTACCACCTCCACTACCACCCACTCTGTAACGCCCTCAAAATAAACCCATAATAACCATAACATTAACATGTATTTATAAAAGAAAACGAATCATTTGAGTTATTCATCAGAGTATTCTTATTGAAAGACATCACATGTAACATCCTGCAACATCAAAATAAATGCCCTAAGGGCTTACCTACACCTACTACCATCTTCTCCTCTATATATATAGGAATTGTAATATACAAATATATCAATCAACAATACAATCAATAATAATACATCAGTATTTTACATGCCCAACAAAAAGATTCCTACACAATGCTCTAAAGCATAGAAAAAGAAGGGATACGGGATACTGCCTTAGGAAAAAGGAAAAAGTGGTATCCGAAAGTCCAAAAGGTTGTACTTTCATAAACTATTCCTAGGATGATGGTTCTCTGTCTGAAAAACAAGAAACAGCAGTGGATTATAAAGTTGCCATAATGTAAGAGCGGCTCAATTATTTTTGGGATCTCAAGTCAAATTTTAAATGGTGGTCTTTTGATATTTAAATATGGAAAATGCTAGAGATAGCCTTTAGAATTGGAAAAGTGTGTAAAACTGTATTGGGATATGTAAAAAATGTATTGAGATTATAAATATTTTGACATTTTGTAGTAGTTACTAACAAGATCTTTTAAATATTAATTTAAATAATTATTATTTAAATTTTTTTTTTTTTTTTAAAACTTTCATTGATGTTTCGAATCTAGACCGTTGAGCAAATCAAAAAGAGGACCAGATGAAAAGTTACGAGTTTAATATTAAGTGGATTGAAATCGAATTGTGACGTTATATGTATGTTATGAATATATTTGAAATTACATGTGAAGAAAAAAATTATAAATTCAATACAAGTATTTTCTTCTTTGTAGCAGTTTGCAAATGTGTAGAATTGTGGAATATACTATCTTTGTTGACGTGTAAAACAAAAATGATAAAACTTAGTTATGGTCATTTGAATTTGAAGTAGTGTTGGTGAGATTCCAAAACGTTGCACATGTTTTTTTTTATTAATCCATAGTTCCCCTGCACACACATTGGATTAGCACATTCGGTACCCACTTCCCACATCCAATTAGCACATTCTACTCTATGAGGCAACCAATCATACGTTTAAACATACACCCTAAATTCAATCCCACATCGGTTGCTTGTGGAAGTTTTAGACCTTTTTCTTATTTTATTGAGACGTGATAGCTCTAGTGTAAATGGTTCCTAAAACCACAAATTTTATTAGTTTTTACAACGTAGGCCTGTTTTTCAGTGCGAAGGCTTTTGGTGACTTATTCGTACTGGAAACTCAACAAGTTTATTTTGAAACATTTTGTTTTTTATAATGCAAAATTATTAATTAAGTTTTTATAAATATATTTTTTCATTGACAATACTTTTTAATTTGTTTACTAATTAAGTGTGTGTGATTCTAATCAATTTTAGTGAGATGAAATGTAAATTTTATTGAAAAATATTAGGCTTCAAACACACTTGATTATTTTAGAGGTCAAATTAAATATATATATATATATATATCTTTTTTTTTTCTAGAACATTCAATTGCATGAGAATTTTATTTATTTGACCCCCAATACAAAAACAAATATTAAAAAAAAAACAGAAGAAGACATGAGGCTTCATTTTAATTTTTGATTTGAACCTATCAGGCATGACCAAACTTCATTTTTTGGAAGAAATAACAATTTTTTTGAGCTTTGCCCATTATTATGAGAAGAAATCATATATATTATTAAGGGTCCTAAAAATGTGGGATCTTCTCAAATATGAGACCTTTGGTGGTTATTTAACTCGCCTAATGAACATGTTAGAGATAGCAAAATGTACTACAAGGACAGCTTGAGATGCTCTAAAAGGGAGTG